GATAGTCCCACAAATGACTGACAACACGATAGTCCTCGTCGAGATACATCGAATGGCTTTTAAATTTTTGAAATCGGCCCAGCCGTTTTCGAGAAAACGTCGATTTCCCGCAAAAAAACTGTTCACATACACACACACACACACATAGTTTTACCAAATTTGGTCTCATTCGATTCAGAATGGCTTGTCGTCGAGAAAACATGAAATTAGCGAATCGGATTTTTTGATGAAAACATAAACTTCTTCTTCGGGAAGTTAAATAAATTGTTTGGCCACTGAATAATAATAAGTCATTAATTTCTGAAACCATTTTAATCATTTCCATTCTCAGCCGGATTGTGATTTCGAATTCACGAATTACGGATGTCAAGAAATTAGTAAAAATATAAACCATATATTCCAAAAAATATGACGAAACCAGTAAAACCACTGAAATAAGATTTTGAAGAGGCGATACACCTTTGAACCACAAGACTGTGACAATGATGCTCAACATCTGACAGGATTGTGATTATAGCTTTCCACACGTTTTACAATCATGGTAATGTATTTAAAACTAATCAATTTTAATTACGTGTTATTTTGTTCATATTTTCTCTGTAAATATAAAAAACTGATTGAATTATTTTTACCAAGTCTTCAAGAATATTGCAATAATTTATTTAAAAAGAATAGTGAAATTAAGGACAATACTCATATTAATTGTTTAAACATAAAAGAACATCTTGTATATATATGTAATAAAAATTTTTCGGATCTGTTAATCTCATATAAGATTATCTTTTAACCGTTAAACCGTACATAAATAGCGTACATAGATAACGTTAAATTTTAACGTTTTGTTGTAGCGCTGCTGCCATGGGGAGTTATCTCCGAACAAATGTATATTACCCTGTTTTGGAAAGGACTACTATTTTTAGCGAAAAAAAGATGTCGCTACTAGTTTCAAAATATGAATAAACGTCAAAATTACTCGCTTAAATTTGGTCGCCATTTTCTCTCAAAGTTTATGGTTCGATGTTGGTTCTGTAATTAATTGAATTCAAGTGAGCATTTATGTGAAATTTAATATGGCAAAATGTAACGCACCAACTTGTGGTAACTTCTGAAATAATATAAAAATGCACTTCTTTTCGGCTTTATGGAGTGAACAAATTAGAAATGTCCAATTATATTTCACAGAATAGTTCTCATGTCTATAGTTCACAGTGATATAAGAAGAGAAAGACAATCTGATATATGGTCAGGAGAACACTCTGCAACTCCAATGGAAAGGGTAATAATAATTCTGAATATTTTAATACCATTTGCTATTACAACTTGATATTATATTACAACATGTTATGTTTATTAGATGTTCTTGGGAATACAAATTGCAGCAGAATCTAGTGACTAAGGATAGGAGTGTCTTGATGCC